ATGTGATGTTATTTTATACCACATTAACAAGATTACTTCAAAGAGCAGTTAGTGACAGATCCCCGGGCCATCCCCTCTGCTCAGGAGTAGAAAACGCCCAAATTAAAAATGCCTTTCTTGGAGCCTGGAAAGTGGGCAGGGGGAGGGAGAGAAAGGCAGTGCCAGTTTTGCAATATTCTTCCACCCCTTCACTAGGGACCTTTAGAAGCTTATTTATGGGTTCTCAGCAAGGATCAGGCTCCTCAGAGCCTAGGGGTGGGGTTGGCAACCAGCTGCTCTCTGAAACATCATTGCCAGCTGGCCCTACAGACATCCAAATGGGAGTTATTGGGAGTTAAAGCTGCAGAGCCCCTGCACAGCTGCAGTGGATTCAGCTGTTAGGAATCTTGCTGAGTGGAGGTCAACAGCAACAGAGCAGCATAGAATTGCCTGCCCCTGGTGTGGTCATTTCTTGTCAAGAAGTATGTAGAGATTCTTTTCCTTTCAGATCCCCAGGATTCATGGAGTTGAAAGGCTGCCCCAAATACTGTCCCCAAAGGAATGATTTCCTGAAAACGTAGGTAAAATCTGGGGAGTTTCCTGACTGGTGTGTCCTCCAGTGGGTTATTTTCATGGGAGGGGATGTTCTAGTCCTGACGGGAGTATTGCTATCATGTTCAATGTTCTAAAATTACAAAGCGAGAAGGCAGTCTGACTGCTAGGCTAGGAATTTAGAAATATCGCTACTAGGGCTTGAAAAACCCACTCACCCACAGCAAATAGCAATCTTTGCATCAATTTCTGCAGAACCTCGGCTTACCCTTTTTTTTAAAAATGCCCTTAAAGTTTCAAACAAAATCTTCTAAACATATCCCATGTAGCGATATCTATCCGCAGGCTCAGAGAGATGGTTCTACCACCCACACCACTGTTTGGGAGCAGGGTGAGAGCAACTGCCTCTGTAAGGTGGGAACCTGGCTGGCATTGCAGATAAGGCAGGGGTGCTCAAACTGGGGGTCATGAGGTTATTACACAGGGGGTTGTGAGCTATCAGCCTTCACCCCAAATCCTGCTTTGCCTCCAGCATTTATAATAGTGTTAGATATATTTAAAAAAAGTGTTTTTAATTTATAAGGGGGGTTGTACTCAAGAGGCTTCCTGTGTGAAAGGGATCACCAGAACAAAACTTTGAGAACCACTGAGATTAGGTGCTCGGTAGGAGGGGCACAGCTGCTGCTGTTAGGAGTACGGTTCTTTGGCCAGCCTGTGACTCTGAACTGAGTGAATCATTGATTTCTTTTGGTTCCATGGGCAAACTGGAAAAACAAATTAATTTCAAACAGAAACAACTCTTTTGGTTTTTCTCAAAACAAAAAAAGTCATTTGAGTTGAAACGGAAAATTCGGAATGTCAAACAAACTGTCAAGTCAAATCTTCATTTCTTTCCTGAAATGTTGATTCAAAACATTTCAATATTTTCAAAACTTTTGTTTTCTGGCTGTTTTTCCAGGTTAAACTATTTGCCAAATTTGACTTGAATTCATAAACAGTTTGGGTGCCTCCACAAATGCATTTTTCGGTAAATGTACTCTTCATTGAAAAAAAATTTGTTCTATATAGCTCCTGGAGCAGAAAGCTCTGCTTGTATGGGGGGCCTTCTGCCAATACTGCCCCATCAAGGGCTGAGTAGGGGAATGGGGGGAAGCCTCCTGCCCCATCCTCCCACCAGAAGGTTGTGTGTGTAGGGCCAGCACAAATCAATTTGTTAAGGAGGTAAGGGCTGTTTAGCATTTACTTGTCCTAGGGAACTCATAAACTGATTTAGTTTGTAGCTGGTGAGGAGGTAGCATTAATTGAATGATTTGGTATTTGGGATGAGAAATGTGATCTGTGGAGCACATTACATTTGCACAGGAGTTTGGATCTTTACCTAAAGGGCTTTACAAATATTAATTAAGCTTCACAACATCGAATATATACTAGGAATCAGTTCACCTATCACTGAAATGCAGCCACCTGTATGGAACACACAGTTATTTAAAGAGCAAAGACCACAGAATGGTTCAGGACAGGAAATGAAGAATACTACATCAAATTGAAATTGCACAGAGAAATTAGTCAGTGAATCTAATTGTCTAAGAGGGAACAGGGCCAGGACATAGGGCTCAACACCCCTACTCTTATTGTATGCCTGGAAGATTTTTAATGATAGATGGTCAGGATCTCCAGTGGTGCTGGAACAATTTGTATAGTGCAGGTACGGAGAGATTGAACCAAACTGTACGTCCTGTATGTGATGGAAACCACATGAAGCCAGGGGTTGTAGCAGCACCTATGAGGACCTCACTTATATATCATATCTGAATGTACCCCCAGCAACACACACTGCCCACTGATAGCATGCTGGGTCACCCAGTGCTGATTCAAAAGGAGGAGGACCACCTATTAAGTAACCAAAGAAAATCCACTTCTGGGATGTATTTGTATAATGGTTATCTAAAAACGACACCCACAAGAACTGTCAAGATTGGCAAACTAAAAAAAACCAGTAAGAGACTGGAAGTAATTTAAGAAAAAAAGCCACAACTGACGCTCAATAAGTGTCAGGGAAACATAATCGGTTATTTATTACAGAGATTAATGTCATCATCCACAGAATTACCAGTATTCAAACATGGACCATGTCCATGCCAAGATAAAAAGATTTTAATCAAATTGTAATTGGATTCCACCTATTTTGATTTCCACCACTTTTGCCCAATTAAACATAATCTTTATTGGTGTAACACTGAGTTATTAATTTATCTGATGATTGTTGTTTTTATTCTACTACCATAAAAGTAACAAGGAGTCTGGTGGCACCTTAAAGACTAACAGATTTATTTGGACATAAGCTTTCGTGGGTAAAAAAGCACTTCTTCAGATGCATGGCCAAATAAATCAGTTAGTCTTTAAGGTGCTACCAGACTCCTTGTTGTTTTTGTGGAAACAGACTAACTTGATAGCATAAAACTTGATACTTGATAGCATAAAACTGTTATTCCAATCTAAAAATTGTATAGTTAAATTTGGAAGTGGTGAACCAGGATAGGTATTTAAATCACAAACATATTTACTAAGGACCTAATCCATTTGAAAATGTCTGTAGCCTTCAGAGCCATGTGACTACAAAGAGCACTCACTTGCTAGCCACGTAACATCTGACATAGAATGTATGTATCCTACTTCCCTCTGTTGGATGGATTAAGTCCTGCTCAGGTTTTTGCAATTGTCTCATCTTTTATGACCAGATTTTCTAAAGACCTCAGCACTCAACATGATAAGCTGTCTGAAAATCTGATCCTAATTATTGGTGCTGAGTGGTTTTGACGATATGGCACCTGGTATATGGTCTTCCAAGGATTAAAGGCACAATTCAACTCCCAATAAACAGATAAGGTCAAAAAGCCCTACCATAACTGACAGCTAATGAAGATGTTTCTTGAGCTTAACTGGGAGAGGCCTGCATTTTTAAGAACTGAAAGTCCTCTGTTCTAGTTTCTAGGCCCTATATATGCCATTTATTGGTGACCATCCATTGTTTGTGTCAAAAGAAATGATTCAGCTTCACAGCGGTGAGAATATGTAAATAAGTTCCCCCATTTTTCATGCCTAACTAGCCCCTTATTTTTCTCAGAACAGTCAATATCCCCATGTGAGCAAGAGAGTTACAAGTGTTCTAGTGGAGTAACTTCTCCTGTGTGTCCGCCAGGGGACGGCATGATTGAGGCCTGGCCTGGCCTGTGCTTAGACTATTTTTTTTTTTCAAGTTACCTATTTGTATTAGAGGAAACTTCTGTTCCACCATCTAAAAGCTATTTTACTGGAGTCAGAACTCCTCTTCTGCTATGTTTGGTTTTCAGTTCCTGTCTACTGTGTGTGTAGACAGAGCATTAATCTTTAAATTGCATAATGCCCTTCTTCCCCTTCTCTGAAATGCAGTTTCAGTGAGATAGTTTAGTATCTTTGCGGCATGAGCCCTTTCAAATTCTTCAGACTAACAGATATAAAATCAACCGGGTAAAACTCATATCCCCACATTAATAGACTCGACTGAACATAATAAGCAAATCTCCATCGGCTCCATAAATCTGATAACTAATATAAAGACATCATGCTGGCCCTAGGCCCAGTTCTGATCTCAGGCACACTGGTGTAAAACAGGTGTATTTCCAGTGACTTCAGTGGAATTTGTTCTGATCTACACCAGCATTAGAGATATCAGAATCATATCCACAGACTTCAGCCGTGCAAAGGGGACAGCTGTGGAATGTCTAATGCAGCAGAGGGGGTAGATTTCATCCTCACAACAGGGAGGAGGATACACAGCTGTGAAACCTATGAACCCTGCAGAGCCAGAGACTATATTCTGCTGAATTGTAGCCAAAGGCTGATCCTAACAGTTTCCTGAATATGGTCATCTAGGCAAGAAATACTTAACTTAATTCAATAAGCGTATTTATAACTACATGATTTGCCTCAGTTATACTTACAGAGCCACACACCAACTGCAGTTTTAAAACTAAGGTGCTTATCATTATAAATATCCTGCTTCAAATACTGTATAGTTAGTCTAACTGCATACATAAAAGCAAAGCTACCTTAAATATTAAAGTCACCATATCTAATATGCAAAAAGGAGTATTTGTGGCACCTTAGAGACTAACCACAAGTACTCCTTTTCTTTTTGCGAATACAGACTAACACGGCTGTTACTCTGAAACCTGTCATATCTAATATGGTAACTGGTTTTGTCTTATACATTTTGTACAGTATTTTTAAATCTAATGAAAACATTCCTTTGTCACAAAACAAAGAAACTCCTGTTATTGTATGCATAAAAGCAATCAGCTTATACAAGACAAAGCCACTAACATTTTTGCAATTCTTAAACCACAAGGAAAGATTTTAGCATACAAGCTTTGTTTACATAATCTACAGATTAAGTGTTCACAACAAGCTCCATATAAATATTCACCAACCTGACTTTCCCATGACCACGTTCTTGATTGTTACCTGAAGCTTCTGTTGACTTAGTTTCTCTTATAAGATTAAGATGTGTTTTGAGCTGACTGTAATTTCCTTGTAGAGCTCCAAGCCTGCAGAGACTGCCTGCAGAGCTGACAGTGCTAGAGTGTGCTCACAGCACAAAGAAAGTGTAACTACACCCATTTATGAGCCTGCCCATGCCTTATAAGGAATAAGGCAAATTCTTTTCTTAGCAAGATTCCAGCTTAGAGTTGGGGTTATTTATCTTCCACAGAAACCAAGCAGCTCAAAAACCACCATGTGCATCCACATGCCAATTTAGTTTAGTAATAACAGACCATTGCTGATACACTAAGTTGTTACAAACAAAATACTACACCATATGGGAACTGGCACAACAGGCTTCACAACAGTACAATAAAAAAGAAGTTAACTTACTTTAAATTGGGTGTGTCAACTTCATTAAGGTAAAAATAACTAGATATTTTAGAGTGTGACTGGGGCCCTGGGGGCATGGGTGGTGGGTATGGTAGGCAGGGGGAGGCTGTGCCTCCCCAAACAGCCTAGCATGGCCCCACCCACGCTCTGGCCCCAGGCCAGGCCCCCCATGCAGTGCCCAGTGCTCTGCCATGGCTGGCTTGCCTGCCTCCCACACTCAGGGCAGCTGGTGCTGAGCTGGCGCACCAGGGCTGGGGGCGCTGCAGCTGTGCCAGCCGGCACTCTGGGGCTGGCCGTCCAGCACATGGGGCTGGGAGCGCTGCGGCTGCACTGCCCAGCCACCCGGAGTCTGTATAAACAGAGGAAATAAGAATGTAAATCTAGCAAAACTACCAAGTCGTATAAACTGATTTTGAACTGGGGAGTCATCCTATCACATCCCTCATACTAAAGTTTTCATGTCTCCCACTGGTTTGTTACATTATCACCTCAAACAACCAGTTTTTGTTGTTGTTGCTGCTGTTTTTTCTTTTTGGTATATAGATATTCAATTATGAATGTTTAGCACTAAGGACTTTTCTTTCCTATGTTTGTAAAGCATGTGACAGGGTCGGTCCAGATGGCTACAGGAGAGTAATAGAAGGCAGATATATTAGCCCCAGGTTAAGTTGGTCCCTTTTCCCTGGGTAAGGTTGTCAAAAATATAAAGGGAAGAGTAACCACCTTACTGTATACAATGCAGTAGAGGGTGGGCCCGGGTTCCCCCCATCCCTCCATCCCCCGCAACTCCCTACTTCATACCGGAGGAGTTGAACTGGACTGTGGGCCCCACCAGAGGGGAAGGTCTCTGGCCTGTTCCCCAATCTACTAGGTGGATCAGCAGAGACTGTGGGGATTGTTCTTCTTCCTTTCCCCATGCTGGCCAGTGATGAGGCTAACTGAGTGCACGGCAGATTTGAGCCACGAAAGTGGCCAACTGAGGGCTGCTGTGAACCTCTGAGGCGAGAAAATCCGCCAATAAGCACAGGACCCACCAAGGCAGAGGAGGAACTTTGTCACAACTCGTGTCAGGAGTGGGATTTGGTGCGCACAGCGCAGCAGAAGGAGGGTGTTATTATTTAAAAAAAAAAAAAGAGAGGGTTTATTTATTTTTTTTCACCACCATGGAGGAGGTAGTGCGAACACTGATACAAGCCAAAGCTGCCCAGCAGGAGGCTACCCGTGTCCAGGCAGCCGCCCAACAGGAGGCAGTATGGCTGCAGCAAGAGACTAATCGCCATCTGATGGACCAGGCGTGCTATGTTGAGGGAACTGGTAAATCAAGTGAAAGCCCTTACGGAGATGAACCACGGCCGTGATGGGACGCGGATCATACGGGCCAGCAATTGCCTGCAGAAAATAACGGGGGAGGATGACACAGAGGCATATCTCCTGGCCTTTGAGAGGACAGCCCTACGGGAAGCCTGGCCTCAAGATCAGTGGTCTGGCATCCTCGTCCCATTCCTGTGTGGGGAGGCCCAGAAGGCCTACTATGATCTGCCTGAAGAAGCTGCAGCAGACTACCCCCAGCTGAAAGCAGAGATCCTGGCCAGATCTGGGGTAACGACTGCAATGTGGGCCCAGTGGTATCACGAGTGGAGGTACCAGGAAAACAAAACCCCACGGTCCCAATTGTTTGACCTCATCCATCTCACACGAAAGTGGTTGCAAACTGAGTCCCGAAGTCCAGAGGAGATACTAGAGGTTCTGGTCATCGACTGGTACATGAGAGGACTACCACCAGACCTTCGCGCCTGGGTAAGCCAGAACGAACCCTCCACCTACGATGAGATTGTTGCACCGGTAGAGAGGCGAAGGACTGCGAGGGAGCTGACCCGACCAGTTAAGGAAGAAGCATCCCGGGTTAAACTAGCAGAACCATGCCCTAGACTGGGCCACCAGGAGAGTCCAGATGGAAAAATAAAGGGGCTGAAAGCCCACCAGAAGCCACAAGGAGTCAGAGCACTGAGGGGAAAGAGGATCGTGATGTTTGACTGCCCAAAAGAAGAGACCTGGGAACTCCTAGCGCTCCATACAGATGTTACGCCTGCGGGGAGTGGGGACACATAGCTGCCCAAAAGAAGAGACCTGGGAACTCCTAGCGCTCCATACAGATGTTACGCCTGCGGGGAGTGGGGACACATAGCTGCACAGTGTCCCAATGCTGAGGAGCCTATGCAGTGTAACCTGGGGAACTGGGCAGACCCATGCTCCCTAATCCACCTTGTGGGGGTCGAACTAACCCCACATATGTACACCAGACCAGTGAAGCTAAATGGGGTAGGTACCGCGGCACTGGTTGATTCAGGGAGTGCTATCACACTTGTCTCAGGGAAGCTCGTGAAGCGTAGTCAGCTGCTGTGGGCTAAGCGTACGGGGATAACATGCTGTCATAAATATAAAGGGAAGGGTAAACCCCTTTGAAATCCCTCCTGGCCAGGGGAAAGCTCCTCTCACCTGTAAAGGGTTAAGAAGCTAAAGGTAACCTCGCTGGCACCTGACCAAAATGACCAATGAGGAGACAAGATACTTTCAAAAGCTGGGAGGAGGGAGAGAAACAAAGGGTCTGGGTCTGTCTGTAGTCGTCTTGGCCGGGGATAGACCAGGAATGGAGTCTTAGAACTTTTAGTAAGTAATCTAGCTAGGTATGTGTTAGATTATGATTTCTTTAAATGGCTGAGAAAAGCATTGTGCTGAATAGAATAACTATTTCTGTCTGTGTATCTTTTTTGTAACTTAAGGTTTTGCCTAGAGGGGTTCTCTATGTTTTTGAATCTAATTACCCTGTAAGATATCTACCATCCTGATTTTACAGGGGGGATTTCTTTATTTCTATTTACTTCTATTTTTTATTAAAAGTCTTCTTGTAAAAAACTGAATGCTTTTTCATTGTTCTCAGATCCAAGGGTTTGGGTCTGTGGTCACCTATGCAAATTGGTGAGGCTTTTTATCCAACATTTCCCAGGAAAGGGGGGGTGCAAGTGTTGGGAGGATTGTTCATTGTTCTTAAGATCCAAGGGTCTGGGTCTGTAGTCACCTAGGCAAATTGGTGAGGCTTTTTACCAAACCTTGTCCAGGAAGTGGGGTGCAGGGTTTTGGGAAGTATTTTGGGGGGAAAGACGCGTCCAAACAGCTCTTCCCCAGTAACCAGTACTAGTTTGGTGGTGGTAGCGGCCAGTCCAAGGACAACGGGGGGAATATTTTGTACCTTGGGGAAGTTTTGACCTAAGCTGGTAAAGATAAGCTTAGGAGGTTTTTTTCATGCAGGTCCCCACATCTGTACCCTAGAGTTCAGAGTGGGGGAGGAACCTTGACATGGTGGCATAGTGGTGGGATTAACCTGAAATCATTTTGAGATCCAGTTGAGATTTTTTTGAACTAGAAATACAGATTTTAAAAAGGAAATTTTTTTTTCCTTTGGAAAGGAAGTCCGGAAAGCAGCTTTGAAACTGAAAGCAGCTTGGTTTTTCTCTGCTTTGTGGCCAAGCAGAGACAAAAGGGGATTATCTTTGTGAATTGCAGGTTTTCTTTGCCTGGAGGCAGGGTACTTAACTCCTGCAGGGAAATTCACAGTCTTCCAACCCAGAGTTTTTTTTTCTTTTCTTCCTAAAAGTAAATAGGGGGGGTGTGCTCTACCCATTTGCCTGGAGACAAAAGTGGCAGGGTTTTTTTTTTAGGATTTTGATTTTTTTGTTTTACAAGGAGCACAGGTTTGAAAAGGAATTTTTTTTCTTTGGGCTGGGTAAGCAGGTTTCCAAGTAGTTGGAGGTTTTTTGCTTTAATTTGGGCCCAGAGCAGAGACAAGGGAATTGTCTTTTTCTGTAGGCTGACAATCACTATCAGAGAATAGGTATTCTATTCCAGCACAGCAAAATTTTACAGCCAAGTTTTGTTTGTTTATTTCTAAACCTCGGGTGTAAAGTTAGTTAAAAACAGAGAGGTTAGAATGGCAAAATCCGCGGCTCGACTACAGCTCGAATTAGCCAAATTTCAGGCTGAGGAAAGACAAAGGGAACATGAAAGACAGAGAGAACTCATGCGGCTGAAGAAGGAACAAGAAAGGGAGGCAGAACAACACCAAGCGGCTGCTCACAGGAGAGCTATGGAAGCGAGGGACAAAGAACTGGAGGAGAAGGAAAAGAGAGGAAGTATGTGGAGGAGATGGAGAAGATAAAGGCTCAGCAGAATATCCCAACAAACCCTAGTAATCCTTCTCCAAGTACCACTTCCCATCCCAGAAAGTTCCCCACCTACAAGGCAGGCAATGATACTGAGACCTTCCTAGAAAACTTCGAAAGGGCCTGCCTTGGGTACAACATCTCTACTGACCAATACATGGTAGAGCTGAGGCCGCAGCTCAGTGGACCCTTAGCTGAGGTGGCAGCTGAAATGCCTAAAGAACACATGAACAAGTATGAACTGTTTAAATCCAAGGCGAGAGTCAGAATGGGGATAACACCCGAGCAGTCTCGTCGGAGGTTCAGAGCCCTAAGGTGGAAACCAGACATGTCATTTACCCGACATGCCTACCACATTGTGAAACATTGGGATGCCTGGATATCAGGAGCAAGTGTTGAATCTCCAGTAAATTTGCCCTTCCTAATGCAAATGGAACAATTCTTAGAGGGTGTTCCTGAGGAAATAGAAAGATACATCCTAGATGGGAAACCCAAAACTGTAATTGAGGCA